GGGGGGGGGGATTAAATTACGTGTAGGCCTGTATTGAAAGGATAGCAAGGCCATAACTTACTGGTTCACTCACTAACGGACTCGCTCGCTCACTCACTCGCACTGACAGATTCCATCCTTACCCTCATTCATCCCTTCACTTCCTCCCTCTGCCTTTTCCACCACTTTCAATCCCTCCCTTCTAACTCCTTTACTCCCCCCCTTCATCTCTACCACCTCCTTCACTCGGATCCCTCCCTTCACCTGCTCCACTCCCTCCCTACATGTTCTCTATCACCTTTACTCCCTCACTTCACCTCTTCCACCTCTTTCACTCCCTCCAACTCTTGCACTTCTTTCACTCCCTCCCTCCACCTCTTCCACCTCCTTCATTCCCTCCCTTCACCTCCTTCACTCACTCCTTTCCCCTCCTTCACTCCCTCTCTTCACTTCTTTCACTTCCTTCATTCCTTCTCTTCCCGCTCTATCTCCTCCACCTCCTTCAATCCTTCCACTTCCTTCACTTCCGCCCTCCACCTCTTCCTCCTCCGACACTCACTCCCTCCCATCCCACCTCCTTCACTCCGTCCATCACCTCTTATCTTCCCCCTCTTACATTCACTCACTCACTTCCACCATCACCTTCACCCCCTCCCACCACCTCCTCCACTCCCTCTCCCTTCCACCACCTCCTCCTCTCCATCCCACCACATCCTCCACCCCCTCACCCTCCCACCACCTCCTCCACTCCCTCTCCCTCCCACCACCTCCTCCACTCCCTCACCATCCAACCACCTCCCACCACCTCCCACCACTCCCTCTCCCTTTCACCACCTCCTCCACTCCTTCCCTCCCTCTAACTCCTATCACCTCCTCCACTCCCTCCCTCCTTCTCCCTCCCTCCCACCACCTCCTCCACTCCCTCACTCTCTCTCACTCCAACCACCTCCTCCACTCCCTCTCCCTTCCACCACCTCCTCCACTCCCTCACTTCCTCTCCCTCCCACCACCTCCTTCATTCTCTCACTCCCTCTCCCTTCCACCACCTCCTACACTCCCTCCCTCCCTCTCCCTCCCACCACCTTCTCCCTCCCTATCACCACCTCCTCCACTCCCTCACTCTCTCTCCCTCCCACCACCTCC